CTCAGTTGCCAAGTAACCTTGAGACAACGGTAGTCCTACATGGAAGAAGGTGTGTGTTAGGCTGGGTAAAGTATGTGTGGAAAATAACTCTTTTCTTAAAGCTGTTATCTGAAACTTTTAAAATGATATACAGGGTTTTATTTTTCTCATTTCTGTAGATACCTAACAGTAACTGGAAACCACATGCTGCTTTTTTTCTGCAATTGGAGCCACTGGTTAGCTGTGTACCTCATTGCTATTCACAAGAAGTGAGCCAACTTTGCAGACTTTCTGCAGGGAATTATGTGATTGTACCCTCAACATACTTGCCTAATACAGAGGGGAATTTCACAGTTATCATAGCAACAAAAATAGACAGGTAAAAATAAGTGGGCTTGTGTTTGGACCTAAGATACTGTTAAATACACTTATTATATAGCATAGACTGCAGTACGCAATCACTGTTGTTATACTATACTTTTTTGTGTTAGAACATCGTTATTTTCCTAAGTCATTTCCACTGATTTATGAAGGAGTGCATGCCTGTGCTTTGACTCTGGAAAAGTTGTTGTCTAAGGCTGGAGGATTTGCATAACTTCCTCTTACCCACTGCTGAAGAACAGAGATTCCTAGGGCTTGGGAGGCTGGAATTGGAATAGCAGGGAGTGTCACCCATACTCCTATATTAAGACCTAAACCGAGATTTTATTGCTTACGTCACTAAACAGATTACTGTTCAGAAAAGGAAGCAGGCGGTAAGTCTTAGTCAGGAAAACCTTATATTAGTAGCCCTTAATGCTTGGTTAAGTATTCCTTAAAGAATTTGACCCCAGGATTCCCCTGATGGGTAGCAATCTCTAGCAGAGCATAGCCCAGAACTCCCCTGTTTTCTGGAAATATGACAAAAATTAGATTGATTTTTTTTTTTTTTTTGCAAGTACTACTAGTGCTCTGTACTGAATCAATTATTTTGCTTCTTTTAAAACAGAAAACGCATTCAGAGCCAAGAGACACTTGGACATGTTTTGCAAGAAGTAAGTGGCATTTTAAATTATTCAGTAACAGTAAAGGAGAGCGAGACAGATGGAGATGCATCAGTGATCGAAACATATACACAGTTGCTAATTTGCTGAGTCAGGGAATGAGAGATGGGAACTGAAGAGATCTGATGCTGTTTTGAGGCTAGTGGTATGATCTTCAACAACTCCATCTTTTTTCAATCTACAAACTAGCAGTTATACTATAACTCTCTGCTCTCTTACTGCCCTGTGACCAAAGAATTATCTCCTTACTGATCTATGAAGTTACTATTCCCTCCTTCAAATCCTTCCTTACTACTCACCTCTGCTATAATGCTCATAAGAAATTAACCAAATATATGTATGTACAACATAAGAAGTGCCATATTGGGTCAGACCAGTGGTCCATTTAGCTTGCTGTCCTGTTTCCAACATTGGCAGGAAGGTATGCTTTAGAGCAGAGGTGGCCAGCCTGCCCACAGGTGGCATAGGCAGTCTCTGTGTAGCATGTGGCAGATCAGGGAGGGGGCAGTCAGCACAGTGGTAGATGGGGTAGGAAGAAGAAAACAGAGCAGTTTATAAGATAGGATGCACAGGGCAGGGAGCAGAAAACAGAAGCAGATTGAGCAAGGAACAGAAAGCAGAGCAGCAGATCTGGCAGAGGAAAGGAATTGGGTGACCCTTAGGAGGACATGGGGCTGAATTTGTGGCATGTCTGCCAAAAGAGTTGATTTAGAGAGAAAGCAGTGAACTAGGTATATTTAGAGTAATCTATAACCTATTTATTAGCCTCCTGGCATCCACCATCATTGGTTTCAAGATGCCAACACCTGCTTTTAATACCTATTAATAGATCTCTCATCCATGAATTTGTCTAGTCCCTTTTTGAATCTGGCTATGCTACCTGTCCTTACCACCTCCTGTGGTAACGAGCTCCACAAGTTAAGAACATGCTAGGTAAAAAGTACTTTCTCCTGTTAGTTTTAAACCAGTCTCCTGCTGATGACAGTGGATACCCTTTATTCGTAGTATTTTGGGACTTGGTAAATAACAGTTCCCTATTCACTTTGTTTTCACCTTTCAGACCTCTTTTATATCCCTCCCTTAGCCTTCTCCTTTCCAAACTGAAGAGCCCTCGCCTTTTAGTGGCAACTGCTCTATGCCCCTGATCATTTTGTTTGCCCTTCTCAGTACCTTTTGCCATTCTGCTCCATCCTGTTTAAGATGCAGAGACCAGAACTGCATGCAGTATTAAAGATGTGGGTGCACCATAGATTTGTATAGTGGCATGATGATATTTTGTGTGTTGTTTTTAATTCTGTTCTTAGTGATGCCCAACATTTTGGGGAGGTGAGGGGGAAGGATCACCACAGCGCGCACAGCTGCCATTTTTAGAGAACTGTCTACAGTTACTCCAGGCTCTGTTTTCCAAGTCATACATGACAGCTAGTTCAGAACCTAGCATTGTGTATGTAGTTGAGATTATTTTTCCCCGTGTTCATTACCTTGCACTTGGCAGATGACCTTCAAATTGTTGACATTTTTTTGCCCACTCACTTAGCTTGGTTTGATCTTTCTGTGCTCCTCTCTGTCAGCTTGGGATTTGACTACCTGGAATAATTTATTATCATCTGCAAACTTGGATATTTCAGTGTTCCAGGTCATTGAAGAAAATGTTGAACCAAACATTTGAAGATGGTGAACAAAACAAAAGTTTAAACATACATATATCTGACTGTAATTCTCCTCTTTCTCTGTGTTATAGCCTCTACCCACCCAAATGGGCCGTGGTGTAGATTGAACTCTTGGTGTTACTGCAAAATTTAGAAATTTTGTTCTGCCTAATATCAGATTCCTAGTGTTAAAAATAAACATGCAGGAATAGAGGGGGGAAAGGAATGAGGAAAATGTGCAGATGACTGGGCTGTACAGTTCAGAAGGTCTGTGTTTTTATTTATAGAACATATATTACATTTCCTGATTTCTTTTTCCCCTTCCCTACTAGTTTTACATGTGCATATATGGTTTCACAGGGCTGGGTATGAGCACAGAGTTTCTGACACTGATAGCATTTTTATTTTGGTGGTAAACATTTTTTAAATGGTATTTTAATAATAATTTGTTCAAAAAATTCTGACTTTCCTATTAGATCATAGTGTGTTCATGATAATAGTGTTTGCTTATTATGCAAGAAAAATGCAAACTAGATAAAGACTCAATGATGGAAAGAGGCCAGTTGGAAAAAACTAAAGTTAGCTTACTAAATTTTATGTCCCAGGTTGGGTTGACCAGTCACTACACTTTGTCCTCAAAACCACACAAACAACTAAGTGTGGACTTTGCATATTTTTTAGAAATTGGAGAGGAAAAAAATATATCTGTACCCATTCAAATGATGCTCACTGTTTTAGTATCTAGGATCTGTAATACCTGATTATACATAACATAATTTCTACTACTTTTTTAAATTTTACATTTTTCTTTACTGGTGGTTTTTGACTCCCCAGGGCACACATTGGTAGGCTGTTGTTATTGAGGAAGGCCTGTTCTTAAAAGGTCAAATAACACTTTACACTTGGACCATACTAAACCTATGGACTGTTAAGTGGTGTTAAAGTTAGAACATGCTTGAACACTTTTATGTTAAGGATTAATACTGTTTCTTGTCTGCAAAATTTTGACTTAGCACTAGAGGGCTGGTGAGCAGGGGTATAGCTAGGCAGGAGGACAACTGGGCTGTATCCCTGCATCCTGGGGTGCTGGAGGACTGCAAATTACTGGTTTTATCTCTGTAGATCAGGCTGAAGTTACCATAATACAAGGTAGGTAACATGGCCTACAGTTCACCTTTGCCTGAAGTGGCATAATTTTGAGATGTTCAGGGAGCATTAAGTGTGTGTTAATGAGCTTTGACACGTGGATGCTCATTACTCTAGCTCAGTATGGTCTAAGTGTGATATGTAACTTCATCGTTATATTGTTCTCTAACTGCGGTAAAACTTAAGCCTACTCTGCTTTTTTAGTGATAGGGGGAATTCACAACCAAGTGTCTCCCACTGGGAATAACCTGATTCAGCCCCCTGAAAATTTTCGTTTGGAGATGACAGCCACCGTCACCTTGTTGGTTACAGCTGTCACTGTGGGGTCCAAAAACTGATGATCTCTGGGTTTTGCAAACTGTACCCTGACTAAGGTTATAAATCAAGAATAGGACCTTGAAGCAATTTAGGTGTTTGCAGAGAAAGCAGTGCAGGGCACTGAACTTCTTTTATGGTGGGCTTCTTTTAGTTTGCCTTAACTAGAAGGTGGACTTTTGATTTCTGAAAGTATTAGAGCCGAGGTGAGTATTGGTGTATTTTATTTTCTAAGACCTCTTGTCCTGTCTAAGGTCAAATTAATGAAGTTATGGGATTTGTTTTCTTTGAGATTAACAGCATATGGATTTAATAAGAAGCAAGCGTGTAATGCTTCTTGGTCTTACTATCCAAATCATCCTTTTCTCTGTTTAGCTTAAGGCTATCCTTCAATCTGTTTTTCCCTGTTGCTAATGACATGTTTAAAATGACAAGTTTTAATCCATGAAGTGGCTTCTATTCCCCTATTTTTGTAGGTCTCCTTTACAGCTGTGATGAAAAAGTAATGTGACATCCTTGTGCTGATGTGACAAATGGTGGAAAGTCTAGAACTGTCTGACCTCTGGTTGGCTTCAGTTTGAAACGAAGTACTTGGGAAGCACTTTGGAGTCCACAGTTTTCCCATCACGTGTCAACCCTGTGCTGACTTGTCTGTAAAGATACCTCCTTTACTGTATGTATCATGATGAGCATTCGTTCCCTCTGTATATTTTACAACCAGCATCATACAACTGGACCTTGTATTGTACCTCGGCTCTTCACTAATACGGATGAAGACTGCACATTTGAACTCAAGCTGCAATTTTAAAACAGAATCAAAAGAAGAAAAAGAAAATATTTATGCATATCTAAAGAAAGAATATTGGGTGAAAAATATCAAAGTTTACAGAACAACCTCAGGAGACCAAGGGAGGAGAACAACTGGAATCTTTTTTTCAGGAAGAAGACTGTAGGAGCCAACAAATTACACTGGAGTAGGAAAAGACCTGATCTATGTCTTACACTGCCAGTTTATTTCTGAGCACTTTATCATGGTTCCTGCTACTACAAATAGTTCTTTAAGTCACAAATCAATGAAGCTTGGCAGGAGTTTTTGGTTTGGTTTTTGTGTGTGCGTCGTGTGAATACCTGGGAGGAAAAGGATGAAAGACTTTTGCTAAGATTTTTTGTTCCAAAATTCTTTACATTGTACTTTGTAGCCAGTATTGAGACTATTGTGTTCAGAGGGACCTCCCCTCTCTGTAGAAAAACATGTCGTTTAACAGACTTTTCTTAATTCCTATTAAAAATATTTCCTATTCAAGTTGGATTTTATTTAAACATTGTATTTTCTTTAATAAAAGTTGGGTAATATTAAAGAGTTAAGAAATGCCCTTTATTTAAAAAAAGGAAATAACTAGTGATATTTAACTTTTATGCCTTTTGTTACGGCAGGCTTTTGTAGTATTCTGTGGAGTTCCACCATTTCCAGAAAGTCTAGAGATGGACAGTCTGTTTCTTCTTCCTCTTAGGTTGTTGTTACATAATCATCATTATATCTTAGCTTTTATGCTACACTTCAACTTCCTGTATGTTTGCAGTTGTTTGTATTGAACTGAAATTGAAAGCAAGTAGGCAGCAGACAGCTGATTTGGATGCACCAGAAACTTTTCACGAGTGGAATTAGCAGGTGTCTAGATGTACTTTTCATTTGAGTAGTATGAGAGACAGCAGAAGATGAGACCCAGGGTACCAGGCCCCTAATTTATGTAGAACTCTAGAGTGTCTAAGAGTGGCTTTAATAGATGCTGGCAATTCAGTTAAATTTCTTTAGTTCTGAAAAGGTCATTTTCCTCCCTTAATAAATAGTTGAGTAATGTTCTAGTAACTTGCAAAAAAAGTTGGACTTGTAAAACAAAAAAAAGGAGTTGGATCCAAAATACAGTAAAGTACATGCATCAGCATGTTTGTACAGAGAACCAGAGCATGTTTAACGAAGAAATAAGGAGACAAGGATGTAATCCTAAAGTGACATTTCCTTGCCAAGCCCAAAGGGGATTTCCAAAGAACTGTGATTGAGAGACCCCGATTGTCCAAGAGCTTACTCATGTGCCCAACTTGTATTAGCCTAAATAGTACGAGGAAAGGAGCACACCAAAATGAGGAAGCTAGTTAGATGGAAGTTAGGAGGAGCCCCTAAGGAGGTGAGGAACTTGCAGGCAGCATGGGCACTGCTTAAGAACAGCTTATTGGAGGCACAGAGCAAATGCATACCACAAATCAAAAAAAAAAGTCGACCAAGAGAAAGCCAGCATGGTTTAATGGCAGAGTTACAGAGGCAGTAAACAGAAAAAAGGCTTCTTTCAAAAAGTGGTGATCATAAGGAAAATAAAAAAGAACATAAACACTGGCAAAGCAATGTAAAACTAATAAGACAAACTAAGAGAATTTGAGGAGAAATTTGCTAGAGACACAAAAGTTGACACTAAACATTTCTCTAAGTACATCAGAAGCCAAAGACCTGCGGGGAGCCAGGTGGGTCTTTGGATGATCAGGGTGTGAAAAGGGTGCTAAAGGATGAGGGGGCAATTGCTCAGAAACTAAATGCATTCTTTGCATCTATCTTCACTGGAAGATATTAGAAGGTCCCTTCATCAGATCCAGTCCTCTCCAGAGACAAGTGAATGGAGTGGACCTAAGTGGAGGTGTCAATAGATGAGGCCATAGAGGAAACTGATAAACTCAACAGTAGCATATCATCAGGACCTGATGGCATTCAGCCTGAAGGAGCTCAGATTGGAAATTGCTGGACTCCTAACTGCAGTGTGCATCCTGTCACTAAAAACCTTGGTACCAGAGGACTGGAGGGTATAACGCCCATATTTAAAAAAGGCTGTAGAGGGGATGCTGGGAGCTACAGGCCAGTGAACCTAACTTCTGGAAAAAGGCAAAAAGCCTGGGAAGGAAAAAAAAAATCAGAGAGTCTGGATGATAGCACACTAAAGTTTCAAATTATTGCATCTGGAGTATTGTGCAGTGGTACTGGGATTGAATAACTGATTTGCTTGATGTCATTTCATTTTCTGCTACCTTTGTCCTATTCTTAACATAGTCTAACACAGAGGTGGGCAAAATTTGGCCTGCAGGCCGGATCTGGCCCACCGAGGGGCTTTGTCCGGCCTGTGGGGGGTCCCTCAGTCCCGCCTGGCCTAGGCATTGTCCCATGGAGGCTACCCTTGTGGCCCTTGACAGTTTGCCAAAACTCATTATGCGGCCCTCCAGCTGAAATGATTGCCCGCCCCTGGTCTAACGTCTTAGTGAATGGATTTCCACAGTAAGTGTTGCATGACAATTCACAGATCTCTTGTTTAAAATCTTAGTTGCTGAAATGCTATTTTTTGTACAGATGGTTTAGATTACTCTTTCCAATAGGTATTACCTTATGTCCGAATACACTTACAATAGCTTTTTATATATATGAAAGCAGCACCTCAGTGTTGTGGTATATGGTAGACTAGCGTCGAACAGCACGGAGCCTATATGGATGTGGCTTCAGTATAGCTCCTAAAATATAGTCCAAATTAATTTTTTTCACTCCATCAGGAAGCTGGAACGTGAACGCCCTCAGCAGGTTGGCAAAGAAGATGAAGAGCTCAGTTCTTGCCATCTGTTCCCCCAAACATACACGATGCCCTGCATAAGGAAAGGGAAGAAAATTACAAATATTTGCAAAGAATGAGTCAAAGACGGGAGAATTTCTGAACAGAATTCTTGATTTTTCTCCTGATAGTCTCTTTTGGATTAACCAAATTATAAGATAAGGGTTGGTGTTGCCTCATGTGAAAGAATATAATTAAGGGGGAAATCATACTAGATAAGGTTCAGAATGGGCATGATAGGAATGACTGCCTTCCTACTGTTGACGTTGAGCTGGTGCGTGATCAGTTAGAAAAGTTAGATATTTATAAGTCAGCAGGACCAGATGAACTTCATCCGAGAGTGTGAAGGAGCTGGCAGAAATCATCGTGGGACCTCTGGCGAAACTTTCAAAACTCGTGGTGCTTGGGGGAGGTCCCTGAAGACTGGAGGAGGACTAATATTGTGCCCATCTTCAAGAAGGGGAGGAGAGAGGACCCAGACAACTATAGGCCAATTAGCCTAACTTCTATCCCAGGGAAAATCCTGGAAAAATTCATCAAGGAACTTGCAAAAGGTAGGATTTTGAACGACAGCCAGCATGGATGCTCTAATTAAAGCACCCAGAGTGTCACATGTATCAGCATCTCTGTGCTGAAAAATGGCAGTGGGGGTGCTTTAACTAAAACTGGTCAAGTGAGTAATCACCAAGCTCCAGCAGACTTGATTAATCGAGCCGGCTCTGACGCACTGTAATTATAGCATGTCAGAGCACATGTGATGCGTCTCGCTGCACGTGTGACGTGCCCTTAGTTCTTTGGAAAAGAATCATGAAGACGTTCAACTCCAACTCACGTCTATAGCTTAAGTTGTCAGTTTGCTTTCAAAATGCATTGTGAGATACCTTGCAGTGTTCTTTATATCAGCTGTGTATTTCCCCCCCCCCCCCAAATCCTATGTCCAGTTTTAAAATGTTTCCTTAGTTTGTCTTCCTGCAGTCAAATGAGTAGATGGACAGGTAGGTGTGCAAAGCAGGTAAGAGCCTCTGTATTATCTTTGCATACAAGAATGTAGGATTTGCACAGGCAATTGGGGCAGCTGCTACTGAAAATTAGATTTGCTCTGTTTAATCTGGTTCCTATATATGCGTTCTAGTGTGGCATTTGCTTTTATTACTGCACCAGATTTATGGTATGTGGACAGAAGAAACAATTATAGCATGAAGGACAGAAAAACTGACTTGTTCAGCTGAATCTGCTGTAACTCTTTCATCCATCTGTTCTGTCACTACAGTTTATTTCCTATTACATCCAGGGGCAATTTACTATGGTTTAAGCTAGGAATGGACACACCAAGCAGTTAAAACAATCCAGCTGACATACAGACCAGCCAGCCTACAAGCATGAGTAGGAAGCCCTGTGTCCGCAGGCAGTCTAACTGTTTTGACCATTCACAGCTGCAGTTAAGCTATTGCTTATATTGTGCCTCGGTTCATTTTTATATTGGTGCTCAACTGATATTCTGTCTGTGGGGCAGGATGTGCTGTCCGTATCTTTCTATTCTATTTATTTTTACAATTAATTCTTCAGCTACGACCTAGTCCCTTTGTTGCACTGCTTTTCTTTCCAGCCTGATTATTGAAAACACTTCTCCATCTGCTCCCTGGGTTAAAAGGGGATCGGCTCATGAATAAAGTGTTAGCTGAAAACTTGGGAGACCCATCTTCAATATCCCCCACAGACTTCCTTTGTGACCTTTGGCAAATCATATAAGCTATGTTGCCGTGGCACAGTGAGCTAGTTCTTAGTTGAGCAACCTCTAAATAAATTACCTTGGATACCAGAAACAGTACAGCTGCATGCATGTGATACTCTGTGTAAGCTAATTATCTCAGCTGAGAAGCTATCTTGTTCAGAGGTAGATCAGGTATTGCTGTGTGGTACTGTATTATGTCCTGTAGTCTCCCTGTTTCTAGGTTCTTCATGTGAAAGAGGGTGATATCACTTCCAGACCTCACAGGGCAGCTGTGAGGATCAGTGTTTCAAGAACAGTGAGGTGTTCGAATACGAGGGTCATCAGGACAATTTTAAGTCACCTGACACATTGAGATTTCTGCCACGTGTATGCTTCAACAGACATAGGTATGAAGTTCTAGCTAAAAGCAGAACGACTACTTATTATAGTTATGTTACATTTATTACCCTTCAAACGTATTACGTTAGATCACTTGGCTTGAATCCCTGCTGCTGTTAGTCAGTTGATCTTGCCTGTCACACATGCATATTTAACTTCGGAAACTGAAAACTTCTTTTCCTTTTCTCTCAAGGTATACATATTGGGAAGGTTCAGACGACAGTGCATTACCTGCTGAAAATGGTAAGAATGCTTCATTGTTCACAAAGTTGCCATCTGAATCAAGAAAGTGATTTGGGTTGAATTTCCAAGGGGTTTCCCAGTACCCAGGGTCATATACGACAGAATGCAAGTTTGGCAACACAATTGTACCCTGTAAAAACACAAAATTATGTTCTGTTTGTGAACCGGTCTTTGTAACCTAAGTAAAAATGCAGGGCTAGTTTCTTAGCTTGTGGAAATAAGCATAAGATTCACTGACATCTGGAGAGTTATGGCTTTTAACACCAGCTGAGGTTAGGGCCTCAGATTGCCAAACCTCTTTTCCCAGTGTATCAGCTTAATTTTAAAGGGTCATCACTGACAATGCTGTTCCCAAATGTTATTTTGCAAAGTGAGAAAATTCCATGTGATTTATTCTCTTTCCGCCTTCTCTTCTCTTTCTTTTTCTCTCTCCTTTGACAAGGTAACAAGCTTTATGGCTCCGGAGGGAGGGGGCAGAGAGACCAGTGGATATGGTCCACCTTGACTTTATTAAGTCTTTGGATCTGTCTCCCATGACATTCCCATGAGTAAGCTAAAGGAGTGCAGTCTAGGTGAAATTACTGTACAATGAGATTGTGCCTTGTTTGATAACTGCTGAAGGATTTGTATGTTCAGTGAAGCACATGTACCACACTGAAGAAGGAACACATACAAAATGGGCATGATTGGCTAGGGTATAGTACTACAGAGAAGGACCTTGAAGTTATACTGGATTGCGACTGTATATGAGTCAATACCGTTACTTTGTTGGGAAACCAGACAAAACAAGCTAATAGTACGCTGGACTTTATTTAATGAGTGTATCCTGTGCAGGTCATAAGAAGTGATTCTCTGTTCAGCACTGGTGAGGCCTCGCTTGAATCACTTTGTTCATCTCTGGCTTGTTTCTAAACTTGGCTTGTTTGCTGTTTGTGTGCTTTTCTCTCCTAGCACTGCCCCCTCTCGTCTTTATTTCTCTCGCTGTCCCTCCTCCCTTGTCTTTTACATTCTAATTTCCCTCAAAATCATAGAATCATAGAAAATTAGGGTGGGAAGGGACCTCAGGAGGTCATCCAGTCCCAACGCCCTGCTCAAAGCAAGACTGTCCCTATATCATCCCAGCCAAGGCTTTATCTAGCTGGGTCTTAAAAACCTCCCAAGTTGGAGTTTGTGCACACAATCTCTCTGGGTAGCCAGTTCCAATGTTTTACTACCCTCCTAGCGAGAAAGTTTATTTTAATATCTAACCTCAACTTCCCTTGCTGAAACTTGAGCCCATTGCTCCTTGTCCTGTCATTTGCCCCCACTGAGACCAGTCCAGCTCCATCCTCTTTGCAGCCCCCCTGCAGGGAGATGAAGGCTGTTATCAAATCCCCCTCGGTCTTCTCTTCTCCAGACTAAATAAACCCAGTTCCTTCTGCCTCTCCTCATAAGTCGGGACTAGTTTAAATCAGGGGCCCAGCTCATGGCGCGGTGGCTCCTTTAATTTTAGAGTTCCCCCTGCATGTCCTCCCGTGTTGCTGATTGGCGGAGGGGCCCCACCGCTTACTGCTTGCTCACCAGGAGGCAAAAACTTTGGTTTTAAATATGCCATGGTTTTTGCCTCCCACAGCTTGCTGCTGACCAGAGGGGAGGCAAAAGCCATGGCATATTTAAAACTGCAGTTTTTGCCTCCTGGTCATCAGGAGCAAGTGGCAAGCACTGGGGCTACTGGGGCCCCGCTGCCAACCAGCAGCAGAGGATTGCGTCAGGGCGAACTCCAAGGAGCTGCCGTGCTGTGAGCTGGGCCTGTGATTTAAACCAGGCCTTACTCACCAGTCCTGTCCCCCAGCCCCCGAACCATTTTCATTGCACTCCACTAGACCCTTCAATTTGTCAACATCCCTTCTGTAGTGGGGGGCGGGGAGAGGAAGGGGAGGCAAAACGGGACACAGGACTCCAGATGTGGCCTCCCCAGAGCTGAATAGAGGGGAAGAATCACTTCCCTCAATCTGCTGGCAACGCTCCTACCAATGCAGCCCAGGATGCCGGTAGCCTTCTTGGCAACAAGGGCACACTGCTGGCTCATATTCAGCCTCTTGTCCGCTGTGACACCCAGGTCCTTTTCTGCACAGCTGCTGCCCAGCCAGTCGCTCCCAGCCTGCACCGGTGCATGGGATTGCTCCCTCCTAAGTGCAGGACTTTGCACTTGTCCTTGTTGAACCGCATGAGATTCCTTTTGGCCAAATCCTCCAATTTGTCTCAGTCACTCTGAATCCCAGCTCTACCCTCTTCTGTATCTACTGCTCCCCTCAGCTTGGTGTCATCTGTAAACTTGCGGAGGGTGCACTCAATGCCATCTTCTAGGTCGTTGATGAACAAAACCGGCCCCAGGACCGACCCCTGGGGCACTCCACTTGATACTGGCTGCCCTCTAGACATCAAGCCATTGATTACCACCCTCTGAGCCCGGTGCTCCAGGCATTTTGCTATTCGTCTTGCAGTCCATTCATCCAGCCCATACTTCCTTAGCTTGCCTGGGATAATGTTGTGGGAGACCGTATCAAAAGCCTTGCTAAAGTCAAGGGGCATCATGTGCACTGCTGTCCCCACAGCCACAAAACCAGTCACCTCATCATAGAGGGCAATCAGGTTGGCCAGGCATGACTTGCCCCTGGTGAATCCATGCTGACTGTTCCTGATCACTTCCTTCTCCTCCAAGTGCTTAGAAATGAATTCCTTGAGGACCTGCTCCATGATTTTTTCAGGGACTGAGGTGAGGCTGACTGGTCTGTAGTTCCCTGGATCCTCCTTTTTCTCTTAATGATGGGCACTATATCTGCCCTTTTCCAATTACCTAGGACCTCTCCCAATCCCCACGAGTTTTCAAAGATAATGGCCAGTGGCTCTGCAGTCCTCTCCTTCTTAAACTTTGCTTTCTACACACCCATTCACAACATCTGATGAAGTGAATTTGGCTTGACAGCATTTTACTTTACAGTATCTCTGTCAAATCCACTAGTCTGCTGAGCTCCGATCTCCTATATGCATTTGCTTCCTGATCATTTGCTGTTCCTTCAAACACCTGTATATTTTCTTCTTTGCTGCACACTTATGTGTGGGGCGAAAAGTAGCTGGTCAAAATTTACAAAGCCCCTTACCATATTCTCTTTCTCCCCTTGGAATATATTCACTACTTTGATGCCTACAAATCCCTCCCCTCTGGCATTGGTTGGGCAAGTGTCAAGCCCAGATTTGTGCACAGTGTTTGTTTCCTCATCTGTCTGATTTACTCCCACCCACTCCATCTTCTTTGTCCACCTCATGTAGTTTGCCTGAAGCCAGGGTGAGAGTTTTCTGGTGCCGGTATAGGCTTCTTTGTTACTTATCTGGGAAATGCTTATTTCCTATAGCGGCGTCTTGATTCTTGACTAGGCTTGTAGGGTAGGTAGTAGAGTACTGTAAACAGTGCTATGATTTTGGCATGTTCATTTTAAATGTTGTGTTTGAGGTATGTTTGTTCAGCAGTGGCAAAAGCACCATTTGTATAAAGGTTACCAAGCGTCCTTACCAGAGCTAAGCAATGACCCTACCAAGTGTTGCTTACTGTGGTACATTGCCACACGGGAATTGTAGTTTGGAGGGTTAATGACCCCATTCTTAAATTGGGCCAACATTGCTGGCTGAGCTGCATGTCCCATGATCCAAAGCATTCTCCCTTCAGACTGACTGGCTGGGTGCATTGGGAAAATCATAACGTATCATCAAATTTATGGTTTCCATGACTGTGACGATGAAATCATGTTCTCAAACATAATGCAAAGACTTTAAGTAGCAGCAAGGGTTATCAACCTGGAGAAAGTCTTTTTACCTTTTGAATGTGATACCCCAGCACTGTGGCATCCTTCACGCACTGTCTGGGGGCTCCAACAGCAGTAATGTTGCTATAGCGTAAGATCTCATGAATCACCGCATTTGTGTAAGGCAGATTTTTCCTGTCCTTGTAGTATATTACTTGGGAGGGTTCCAGAACAGCCTCTAGCTCTTTCTGGACTTTTCCTGCAAAGTATTACTTTGTTATATTTATTACAGAAAAATATTTTCCATCCCTTTTTTTTCCTGTTTTTTCTTTCTCCCCACCAGTCTCTTTCTTTCTTTTTTTTTTTTTTTTTTTTTTTTTTTAAAAAAAGCTAATGTGACTTGCTCTATTGCTCTTCAACCCCAGGATTTTTAGAACAGATGTGTTGCCACAAAATGCCTTGGAGTGTGGTTTGATCCCAGCACTGATTCAAAGCTGATTTTGAGAGACAGAGAAATGTGTTTTCCCTGGGTGAGTGCAAGGTAATCTCTCAAGGGCACCTTTCTTTTAAATTAACTTTTACAGAAGTGGCTTCACTTCCCAACTTGAGTAAGAGATTTGTCTTTGAAATGAGGCACATTAACACTCCCATTGTTTTTACCTTATTTTTGTGTTGGGAACATTATAAAGACATATAAGAGTTAGATGTTTTAAAGTTTTGTCTGCTATGCCCACTTGATTTGGCAGTGAAAAGTGTTTTGGGTAGGCTTACATGCATATTTTGCATATAAAATGACCTCTCCAACCTGCTGTTCTCTCTCTCCTACCTTTATACTACTGGACAGGTAGACAGCAGTCACTTCTGGTCCCTGCTACTGGTGTCTAGCCTCTGCTAGTCTTGCTTCTTCAGAAGGTGGTGGGAAAGCTGCGCGTTTTCCTTAATTACGTTCCACATATTAAATTCACATTTTGGAACTGCTGTTCAGTTACCAGCACGCTAGCACTGAAGTGCATTGCTAGCAGGCAATTTTAGTTGACAGCTCACTGGTAGTTGCATCTAATATTTGTTTTGTAACACTGTACACACTATGTAAAGTGAGTCTTTTTGATGTGCCTTCACCTACCTTGGATATCTGGGTATTGTACCATGTAGAGCAGTGCCCAGTACAGGGTGGTAGTTGTAGTTTCTGTGCCTCCCAACAAAAGATCGACCATAGTTTGAATCATGTTATCTTCATTAAATGTGGAGGTGGGGTCATCTTTGTTCTGCATGGGGCATTCAGAAGAAAAGCAGAAGCTTTGACACATGGCTTGATGAAAACTTATGAAGTATGCCCATGATAAAAGTAAACATCTCCTCCAGTTCCTAAATTAATTGGAATATTAATCTATAACATTTCATTTTGTCCTTCAGTAAAATTTGCAGTGTGCAGTGAAGCTAAGGAGAAGCTGGTTTAATATAGAATACAGGCACTTACTTTTGCTATGTGAGCCAAGTAGAAGTCAATGAGATCCTGTGGATCGTCTGCTTTCCATTTCTCCTTGTGACTTTGGACCTCATTCATAACCAAACTGTGCATAAAATCATTGTATGCAAACACTTGCTGGTGAGGTCCTGGGAAGCGATGCATGAACCAGGGGAAAGCATCATACATCTGTAGGTAAAATATAGGAAAGGTGTTTTAATTTAGGTGAAATCAACTGATTTTAGAGTCATGAAAATATAAAGTGCAAGGTGGAGGGTTTATGCTTCTGGTAGGGATATGAAACTTTTAATCTCTTCTCTGAGTCAGTGGCCAGTAACGTTTTACTGGCAGTGGGCTGGCATGGCTCAGCTCAGGTCCAAGGTGGGCTAATGGTAGGACCTAGCCCCATTGCTATTGCTGCTTCTTCCTGATGCCCAGCTGCAGGCTGCACAGGCAAAACTCCCCACTGCCCAGTCATGGCACAGCAAGGGTGGAACCCCTGCCACAAAAGCCCCTTGGTGCCCAGCTGTGGTGTGGCATGGTACAGGTGAAGCTCCTGGCTGCGGGCCGGATTTGGTGGCCCTATGGGCCAGATCCATCCTGCGGGCCTTCGGTTGCCACCAGTCTCTGCTATAAGCAGTCAATTCTAGACTGTTGTTGACCGAAATATGTAAACTGATGTTACATGAAATAAATTGGTGGCAATAACCTAAGTAGCCTAGTTTCTTATCAAGTAGATACGGTCCCTATATTATAAACCATACTGATAATTATTGTCACTTGCTTTTCCTCAATAAAAACACTGAGGACTGAGTAGATACCAGGGTTGAATGATTCTTGAACTCTTGCAGACGTTCATTCCCAGACACTTGAGATGCACTGCTGAACAGTCGTTTGTGGGAAGCTTCCTTTTACTCTGCCCATGCTTTGTGTCTTTAATGGCTACAGCAGTGGGGGACAACCTTTTTGGCAGGCATGCCACAAATTACCCCCTCCCCCAAGTGCCACTTTGATCCCCTTCCCCTGTGCGATCTGCTGCTCTGCTTTCTTCTTCCCATTCTCTGCTCCCTGCTCAATCTCTTCCTCTGCTTTCTGCTTCCTGCCCTCTGCTCTTTGCCTGATCTCCTGCTCTGCTTCCTGCCCTGTGCTGCTGCTTTGTCTGTCCCCTCCCTCATCTGCCACGTGCCACTTGTGGCGCTTGCACTGCAGGTTGGCTGCCCCTGGACTAGAGGGTTTCAGTTTCTAGGAATTATCAAGAGAGAAAGTTCTTGTAGAAGTGTCACAAAGTTCACTTAGATGAGACGTACATTGTGGGGGCTGCGGGGGCTGCTGCCGCTTTAATTATGGTGACTGCGCTGTGGTGTCTGGCAAGTCAGGAACTTTTCTGTTGTCAGAGCTGTACCAGCTCCCCTGAATGACAAGAGCCTCCTTTTGATGGGAGAGCTGCCTCCACACTGAGAGTTTGGCTGGCAGAGCTATGTCTCCGGGGCTGTGCTTTTTTATTGTCTCTATATCAACATAGCTGGACCAGCAGAACCTTGTAGTCAGACAGTCTCACAGTTAAATATTAACATTTCTAAAGATCCTCTGCTTGGAGGTCTCTCACAACCTAAAAATACTGTTGCCAAGTACTAGAAGGTTAGAAAATCAGTATAGCCGAGGAATCAACCAAAGAAAAATGCTCTTTCATCACATTGAAAGTCTATGAACTGTATCATACAGGAAGCCAAATTAGATTCTTTGATGGTTCCCTTTGGTCTTGAAAAATAAAAATGCGGTCCAGATGCAATATACACGAAGATCGGTTTAAATGTCTGACGGAGAGGATGCAATGGGCACTTAAACCTTTGCAACGTGAGCAAGGAACAGAGATAAAGTTGCACTAGTTTTGCTACGGGTGTATTGCTACAGGAACTTGGAGATGTAAGAGTTACTTTATATAATTGTTTCATCTGTCCATACCCAAAGTTTAATGTTTGGAAAAATCACATTTTGGTGTTAATTTGGAGCGCGTGATTCATCTGAATCATGCTCAAAATGACAGGGCTTCAAAGGATTGGCTTTTATTAGCTGAATGTTTAGATTCTGTTTCCAGTTCCAAGCTCTCAACAATCAAATGTTTACGCTGGCATTATTGGAAGCATTTAGAAATCCAATTCCAGACATATGTGTTTCTCTAAGCCTTTCTTAATTTTGAAATATGTTAAATTAGCAGGGGTCAACCTTTTGGGTAGGCATGGAACAAATTAGCCCCACACTCTCCCTGAGTGCCACTTTGATCCCTTTCCCTTACTCGGTCTGCTGCTTAGCTTTCTGCTCCCTGCCCTGAGCTCACTGCCCAAGCTGCTGCTCTGCTTTCTGCTCCCTGTCCTGTGCGCTCTTCCTGATATTGATGCTTTGCTTTGTGCTTTCCCTGTCTGCTGCTGTGCTGCCTCTTCCTTCCCCAATCTGCTGCATGCTACACAGGTTGCCCGTGCAACTTGTGGCACCCCTGCTGCAGGTTGGCCCACCCCTGTAGCAAATCTACTATTTAAAAACAACAGTAACTCAAAATAGCTGTAGCTCAAATCGTAGGCCATTTGATTCACTGATTATATTCTGTAAACAAAACGCATCTGTGGATGGGTACATTTATTGCTTCACAAGCAAAAATCTTGCATGATGCTTTTTGAAATTATGGCCATCGGTCAGAGTCTATATTTTTGGAATTTTAGCTTATCTAGTATTACTCGGAAGCACAGCCAAAGTTGATGGAGCTGAATGCTCACCCGGCCCCAGATAGTTGCCTGAAAGTAGATCACAAAATAGATGGCTTTGATCAGCCGGTTGAAGGATTCATCCTCACTGGAGAAGCGATGTCCAAAAACCACAGCACAAATCACGTTTGCGATACCATGGACAATGGGCGTGTGGGGATCAAAGGGTTTCCCTGTGAAGATGACCATTGTGGTGCAGAAAGTTAATCAGGTGCATGAAGGAGCCTGCACAGTGCAGGTAGCTGTGCACTGAACAGGAAGTTGAATTGTTTCTAGGTAAAAAAACACATTTTACAAAAGAATAATGATGTAGACAAACATATATTTGTAGTAGCTTCAAAAGGGGAAGGGACAGTGCCTCAAAACTGCCTCATTTAGGTTCACATTTGGGGTGATTTAGCTCCACAGTATCACTGCAGAATCACGTACATGTAGCAGTTACGGTGTAACAGCTGCTGCGCATCCCTGCATAGGAGGTTTTTGGGACTTATTTCTGTTCACCCCATTCCTGTTCTCTGGGAGGACAGAACTGAGTATATATTTGGAGGAAACATACTTTGCATTTCCCTATTTCTCCAGGGTCTGACCTGTGAACCGTTTTGTGTAACGTGATTGCATTTTTCCTCTCCTCTGTGGCTTTCATTGGAACAGAAGCATAAATCCTCAGGTATGGCATAATCCTCAAGCTGTTTTTTTCAAAGTATAAGGAAAATGTTGCATAATAGGCTGAGAGCTATGGGACTCTTCAGCTTGGAAAAGCGCAGGCTTAGGGGTGATCTGGTCGCCACCTATAAGTTTATGAGGGGTGCTCACCAGGATCTGGGGGAACGTCTGTTCACCAGAGCGCCCCAAGGGATGACGAGGTTGAACAGTTATAAACTCCTCCAAGACCGTTTCAGGCTGGACGTAAGGAAGAATTTCTTTACTGTCCGAGCCCCCAAGGCCTGGAACAGCCTGCCATCGGAGGTGGTTCAAGCACCTACATTGAACGCCTTCAAGAGAAATTTGGATGCTTATCTTGCTGGGATCCTATGAGCCCTGCTGACTTCCTGCCCCTGGGGCAGGGGGCTGGACTCGATGATCTTTGAGGTCCCTTCCAGCCCTAATGTCTGTGAAATCTATGAAATAGTTGCCCCACAGAATGGAAAGCTCCTGGTTCACCAGCTTAAGATCAAAACTACATTTATAAAACACAAGTATCTAGCCTCTTAGTTGGGACCTGATACAGCTACCTCTAAAGGAGATAGAAAAACTGACTGATTGTAGCAGAAGTTGGATGAACCTTAGTAGACTATTTCCAGGTACTCACTTAAAAAAATAAAATCATTAAACTGCAAGGTGCATTATTCATTTGATATATATCTAGCTTTAATCCAAAGTGATATTACCCACTTAAAAATACATAAAAATGTTATTCAGGTTGCAAAATAAAGCACTCAGAAATTAGGAAATGCCCGATTTAAGATCATGCGTGTAGTGTTAATTTTGTTTTCTGACTCTGCCAGCTTAAATGAAGCAAAGCATAAAGCAAAGGTCTCACCGAAAAAGCAGTTTTTGTCCTTTAATTAAAGACTATCTTAATACATTTACACAAGAGGGCAGAATTAAAGATATAGGTCACCATAATTCTTATTTCATACATTTTCGTGCTTGACTTTGCAACCTAAATAACATATTTTAACGTGTAATTTTCTATTTATTTAAGGCGTATATATAAAACACGTTCTGTTTTATGTTGTAGCAGCGTGCATTTCCATTAGTTTTGAACCCTGACTCTTCAGCACTGTAGCACAGACTGTTGCCACTTAAGGACTAATTGCATTAGTTTATAGCAATAAAAAGCTGGTTCCAACTTGTAGGGGAGGCAGATGGTCATTAGGGTTCAAGTCTTGTGACTGGAAGTGGCTTAGTCTAGTTCTGTCTGCTATGCGGAGATGTTGGGGAGTCCCCTGTGCGTTGGCTAGCTGTGCATGGCAGAAGTGATGCCACGTGGTATATCCCAGTGCTCACTAGACCTTTCAAGAGTGGCTTGGACCTGTCACTCCCTGATTCAAGTCTTTTATCCAGGTTAGTGTGTTGCTGCATGTTACATGGCTACCCCACTTTTACTTTGCTGGTGGTGCCTGGATAGGGTGCCGGGGTTTTGGTTGGCCATGTGTGACTGTGCTCTTCTTATGTTGTCCCAGGTGCCACATCCCTGTGACTGTTGCATTGTTATGGAGTGGCTAGTGTATATTGTTCTCTGACCTGGAGCTTTTTTTCTTTGCAGAAAGTTGTGGTTCATGTCACTAGCTTTCCTCTCCCTGCCCCCTCCAAATACGCTCACTTCGGCACTGAGACTGGAACAGCAAATGGGAGTTTCGGAAAGTAACATTTAGTTTCAGTTAAGAAGTCCACATAGGCAATTACTGTGGAGCAGTTGAGTACCCTCCTTTACCTTGCTGTGCATATTCATGTGCCCATGCTGTCTAGCTTTTGATGTTATTCTAGAAGACATGCTTGAATGAAACAAGTCATTGGCTTCACTACGGGGGAAATAGAGAAGAGAAGGCTGAGGAGGGATTTGATAAGTCTTCAAATGACCTGAAGGGTGATTTATAAAGAGGACAGAGATTGACTTTTGTCTGTGGCCATAGAGGACAGGTGTTAAATCTTTCTGCACAAAGTCCACGGCAATCTTTTGCAATCGATAGTGTTAAGCAACCTAAATATTGGGATTGCTACAAGCTCGCTGCTTACCAATAGGAGAGTGATAACAAGAAGAAAAAAAAAAATTGTCTCGGCATCTGTATTTGAAAACACAATTTCAAATTGCAGTTAGTACAATCAAGACTTTTGGTATTCTCCAGGGAACTAGGCAATTCATGAACAGTTCCACTGCTGTCAAGTCCCACCCTGTGTTGTTTATGGAGCAGAGAGGCTCTTCAATTTAGTATCATTTGCAGCCTGACTTAAGTATAAGGAACAGCATTACATTTCAGTCTTTCAGTTAGTTTACCATTCTCGTTTGCAAAGGCCTCTATCAGATGATGGGCCTCCTCTTGTATTCGATGTTCCAGACTTTTCTTGCCAAGTACCAGGCTCCTTAGAATTGTCATGACAAAACGTCTTTGCTGTTTCCAGGTGTGACCGCTCGTTAGGAAAATGCCTGCGGACAAGGAAGAGCATGTCTATGCTACTGTTAAGAAGGGAAATCCCTTATATAGTAAAAGGTACAGTTAAATTAAGCCGCATTTTTTCTAACGAGAGCATATGCTGATAAACGTTACAGATCTGAATTGTGATCTGCGACATGAGTTTCTAACATTAGTTTCATCTTCCAAACCTATCCCCAGAAACTCCAGGGTGACAGTGTTTGGAGAGGACAGGACTGCTTAACTGTCAGTGTCTCAAGCGTGCTTCATTTCCTAACTGGATTTTTGATCACTTGTCAGTGATGGGGTGGGTTTTTGTTACGTGGAGTCTGTTTTTCTTGAAGCCACTATGTGGTCAAATTATACAGGCAAATTTTTCTTCAAATACAATAGAGAGAAAGCAAATACTGTCAGTGGAGTGTTGTGAAAATACGGTAGCATAAAACTTATTTTGGGGTTTTTTTTTACCTGTTTTTCTAAATTTTCCAGCTCTGCTGCGAACCTCATCAATGGAAAAGAATTTTTCTTTCTTACGAAGTCACCTTTATGTTTCAATATCATTCCTAACCATAAAGTAACATCCAGTACCTTTTTCACCCATCAGGTCCCTATAGAAAGGGGTAAGAGGCCGTCCAGAAGTCTCTTCTGAATGGGAGATAAGGCCATCCTTTACAGCTCTGTAGCCATTCAGTACAATTAGAGGTGTCTGTCCCATCCACACTGTGTAGATGTTTCCATAGATGTTGGTTAACTGGAGAGTAGATAAACATATGTTAGAAAAGCTGAAAGCAATTGTCATATTGAATGAAATAGTTTGAATGTTTGTAATGGTTGCCCATTAGCCAGTTTCAGGAAGAAGATAAGATTTATCTCCTTATCTAGGTTGTTGTTTTGGACTACGTGTGAAAAATCCAGACTTTGCTTAAAGTCTTAACTTTTGAATTTTATCTTTAGAAGTCTTTTACAAAGAGAACCTAACAATGATCTTTTCAGCAAATATCCTGAGTTCCGAGAGATCAAACCCTAGAGCCTTTTGATCAGATTGGTAAGAAAAGGTCACTTGCAGTGGTATGGAAGTTCCCCAAAGTAATTAAAATGATTAACAAAAGAAACTAATTACTAAGCATAAGAATCTGTTGAGTAAGATCCGAGCCCAAATTTGGGGGTAATGACAGGTTTGAGTAGGAGTGGCCCAAGACGGCAGCTCACTCAATAAAAACTGTAACCTACTGTCCCAATTTGGAGGTAACTTCACTTGCAGAACAACGAAGGAAGAATCGCAAGTGTAGGCCGGATCAGACTGATCACCTGAACCACCCTCTCCGTGAACACGAATCTCTTAGCTCACGCTGAAGCTGCAGAGCACCCGAAAGGGACTGAAAGAAGGGGACTTAGTCCTATCAGTATTGAGGCCAGCCCATTGAACCGTACTGCTGAGGTGAGCCCATTGAACCGTACTACTGAGGCCAACCCATTAAATTGTACTGCTGAGGAATGAAACCATATTTAGGTGTTTGGCTTCTCGGAGTTCTAGGATTGTAAGTATATTATGAAAATAACAGTATTGATTCAAATTTAACTTTTAGTTGTAATTGTAGTTGTTTTTGTAATACTAATTCTTATAGCATTGTTTGGGAAGGAAGTGCTTCGGAGCATTGTTTCTGACATATGTAATTATTGTGTTCTTAATGTTTGTGGTATTTCTAAGCTAAGCAGTGTTATATACGTAGCAAAGAATTTTAAAATAAAATTGTGTTGTATAAATTAAGTGTGTAATCATTGTGAAATTGTGCAATCAGCTAACTACTCCCCAGCCAGTGCATCAAAACGAATCAGTAAATTGTGTGGGATCTTCTCTATTCCATAACCCACTAGAGACAGCAATAAAGGGGTCTCTTAAAATTAATTTTTTGGAAGTTTTCTATAAGTGATATTTCCCATTGAATCTACAAGGGCATTTATTGACTCCTTTTATGGCCTGCTTTGGCTGTGGAAAGCCAATCTTACTCCACCTCATGGCATGTAGATACTAAGAATTGGAATCACTCCAAAAGAGGGTAATCCACCCCAAATATAACCAAAGACCTTCTGCGAGCATATGCCTTATCTCTAACTCAAAGAGAAAGTGAAAAAAGACCAGCTTGATCCCATTTCATGTTTTTCTTTCATCTTATGAGACTCTCTGGGTCTTTATACATGTGCTCTGGGAGGTAGGGGAGAGGGGGGTGTTAATTAGAGTGCCTCCAAGAGCCGCTCTAATTAAAGCGCCTGGAGCATCACATGTGCATACCCGTGCTGAAAAATGGTGGCAGGGGCACTTTAACTAATGCTCACCAAACAAGCTTTAGTTAAAGCGCCCCACCACCAGTATTCAGCTCAGGGATGCTGATACATGTGACACTGGAGCGCGGTAGTTGGCATGCTCCAGCAGACTCGATTAATCAAGTCTGCTCCGACCATGCTGTAATTACAGCACGTCGGAGCAGCCTCAGTGGATGTGCGTATGGGTGCCCCGCGTGTGTTCTTGCTTTCCTTTTGGCCTCCGTGAAGGCAGAGAACTATTTTTGAACTCTAGATTTTTTTTCTTATTGTCTCCCCATAATTTTTGTCATCTTTCCCTTAATAGTCTTTTCCCAGGTCAGGCTTCTTTTTTCTCCTGAAATAGAGCTGGAATTAAATTTCTTACTTTTGTTACTTTTAAGCTGTTTTTCAAGTGAAGCCAGTAAAACAAGTATATGATATTTCCAGTCCTATCTTAAACATCATTTACTGAGGCATTCCAAAGTTTTATTATGGATAAACAGAGACAAGCCAGTTTTGGGTGGACAGCTGGTTTGCTAATGGAGACCAGATTTCTCACAAGCAGGAGATATTCCAGTGGTATCAATTCCAGTGCCTCTGGCAAAGAAAGTTTTACCATGTATGCTATGTCGGATGAGTCTCTAACACAAAATACAGCAGGGAGTGAATCTAAACAATCAGTATAATAAATGGGACTGCTTTTTTTAGAAGATGTCTGAGTCCTTCTATATCTATTAACCATTGTCACTCATGGACAGGAGGAAATACCAGAGGAGCCACGACCACTCAACCTCTGGCAGAGCAAGATATTTAAGTTGCCTTGGAAAAACTTTGGAAACAAACCTGGGGCCTGATTCAAAATCCAGTGAAATCAAGTGGATAAACTCTCAGTGATTTCAGTGGTTTTGGATCAGATCTTCATTGCTACTTACATATGGGGCATGTGAGGATGAAGTCTATAAATTACAAAAATACATATTTTGATGGTGTTATATGTTAAAGAAAGAAAGACAGTAGTTAAAACCAAGAAGAAGAGTAGCAGTCTGAAATTTTTCTTCTTCTTTTCTTTTTTTGGAAATAATTGTTTTAGCAGTAGTGCAGCATCCTTGGGCTGTTGAATCTGGGTAATAGTTAAGTTGGAGAATACCCTGTGACTGATTAGCTAATTTCTCTGCAGTTCTAATTGCAATCCAGCTGAACCTCTCTACTTCAGTCAGGCAAATCTCTACTTCAGATTTCTGCAAAAATAAATACCTTCACAAGAGTCTCCCGCTGCAGTTTAAAGTCCAGCAGCCACAAGTTTCCAATAATGGGGAGGGGAGTTGGTCCTGGAGGAAGCCATCTACGTGCCCATTGCAACTTCAGAAACAGCATGATCAGGAGCAAAACAGCCAGAGCTATTGAAATCTCAAGTATCCCCCACATCTCAGTGATGCTGCTTTGTCACTTCTCTTTCTGGACATGGGCTCTATCTGAGCTCACTTTAAGCTGACTTCTAGTTCTTTGCTAAGAGCATTTGTCCTCTCCAGCCAGCCCTGCCTGCCTGCCTCCCTTCTGTCCTCACTCTCTCTCTCTTTCATACAGTATACAGACTAGCTAGCTGAGGCACATTTAGTAAACTTCGAAATATGTGACTCGCTTCAGTGAGCCAAACCACGCCTGTCTCTTCTCTGATCTCCTAGTGTGACCTTTCTCTCTCTCTGCAGTGAGAGACTCCTTTTTACACCAGATCCAGGGCTAAATTTTAATATTTCTTACACTGGTTACCATGGACCACAGAAGTCATGTATAGTGGAGATACCTCTCTGTTCCTAGCAGCTAACATTTCTTAAAAGCAGCAAAGAACAGTGTCCTTTTCTGCAAAGCAATTTCTGTAATTACTGTGTGACTGCCTATGGCAGGGGACCAGTCCACAAGCTAATCGTTCTGTTAGGTTATGGTCTACTGTATCAGGTAAATAAGGGATCACTCTAACAACAACAAAAATCGTAGGAAAATAGTGTGTAGACTTGTGGTATTTAAACTCAGAAGAGACCTTTTGTGTCATCTAATCTACTTTCTTGGATTTCATGGGACTGAGTACCCCAAACCATTACCCCTGTACAAATGAAAGGCATGCTACCAGTGTAGGGCTGTAACCCAGATATTAAGTTCATCAGACTGGCAGCGATGCTGGCAACTTCGCAAGCAGATGTTTCCATAGAGGTGGTTTAAATTACAATGATAAAAAATGACTAACATGATAAAAAGAGGTGACAACATGGATCTTCAGACATGATTAAGCTAGCGCAACGGCAATTTTTGTCACATGGAAACAGGAAAAGTGCAATGTGGACAACCGCCCATCTGTTTCTTTGGAACAGCATCCAGATCCCCAAATCATGGCTGTTGAATTTTCAAGCACTGCCACAGCCCAGTGAGTTGGTGGACTTTGGGTCCTAGCTGCCCCTACCAGTCCTTCCTTTTCCAACCTTCCCCTGACTTTCACTGTGGATTTGCCACTTCCGGATGGACCCCACACGCAGCCCTCCAGACCCTACAGGGAAAGAACCAACCAAGTTAACTTTCACAGCTCCCAAAGGGGCAGTGAGGAGTGAAGTGTGTTATGAAAAAAAGGAAAACAGATTGAAGATGAGAAAAGTGCTGTTACACTGAAGACAATTGGAAGGAAGCCTGTGAACAGTAGGAGGAAGAAATGATTCTGTCCGGGCGGTGGTCTGATGCTGGCTGTGCATTTGTTTTCCCCCAGCGAGGGTCCAGAGTGCTAGAGCAGTGCAAAGGTGCCACTGTTTTTGTAGCCTGTGATGGAAAAAGTGCACAATCCAAATATTAACCTCCACATTGCCCTGCCCCCTCTCCCCCTCCCCCCGAACTCTCTCCACAGTAAAACTGTTTTCGGAGCCTGGTGTCCAGGGTGACCACCTGGCCCCATTGAAGTCAAAGGCAGAATTCCTGTGGATTTCCAGGGCGGCAGGATTTTAACCTGTCCTTCCTGACCCGTTCCCGGGGGAGTGGCGAGATCCCTGTACTCTTGGCTGAAGTGAAACTGCTTGTAACCTGGCTGGGGCCACGTCCAAGCAGCGAAGGAACTGGAGCGGTTTCTGGGTAATGAGAAAAGGTTACAGCAGCTCAGTTGTGAGCTGCCTCGGGTGACCACATTAGCTAACAGACTTGGCATCGGCCACCTTTTCTGGATTTTTTTGGCCACTAGTCAACACATGCAGGGCTTCCTAGAATTTCTTATCTGTGGTGTGTACATTGCTTTGCAGCTGGACCTCGGGTGCCATCTTTTCACTTAACCTGGCTCTCCTATCTCAGTTTCTCTTGCTATAAGAGAAATAGCTGGCTGTCTTCATTTCCCTGTTGATCATCTGGTGAAGATTTGTATATCCACTTGAAATCCTTCACCTTGAGGAGCCCTTTTTCTTAATATGTTGTTTTGACACATTTAAAAGGCACAACATGCATGGCATTTCTTTACCAAATGAAATGTCTGTGCAGAGTTGTACAAGTTCTTCTAGTGCTGTCACAATTCATTTGAGTGGGATTGGTTTATTTTGCTGGCTACCGTGTTGGGATTCCTCTCGCTCCAACAGCTAAAGTTATTGAATCAGACTCTGGGCACATTGTCTACCTGTTATTGGCACTAAGCTCTTGGATTCAGTAACTAATCAAAATTGGATCCAGTAAAAACTCCATTAAATGAGTTAAACTCCAAGCAGATATCTAAAAGTTACAGGTATTGTCACTCCTTTTGGTGGTGGATTGGTTTGGTTGGTTGGTTTGATTTGGGGGTTTTTTTGTTTTTTGTTTTTGGGTTTGTTTTTGTTCAGTTTCCAAGTGAACATAGAGAAACTAGAGGGCTTAATGTTGCAGCCTTTAATCTTGAGCAGTATCCTATAAGATCCAATATCCTATAGTTTCATAGTTGGTCGGGTCGGAAGGGACTTGAGCAGATCATCAAGTCCAACCCCCTGCCATGGCAGGAAAGAGTACTGGGGTCAAACGATCCTGGCAAGGTGTTCATCCAGCCTCCTTTTAAAGACCCCCAGGGCAGGAGCCAGCACCACTTCTCTTGGAAGTTGGTTCCAGATCCTAGCCGCCCTGATTGTGAAGTAGCGCCTCCTTATCATGCTATAAGATCCAATATCCTATCATCCTATAAGAATTTGATAGCTTCATGTCAAACCTGTGGCTTGACTTTATGTTCTCTTGTGCGAACTTTGAAGTCCTGGCTGATCTCAGAGCTGCACAAGATGTGTGTGTGTGTGTGTGTGTGTGTGTGTGTATGCAAGGGTATATGGTTATGTTTGCCTTACAAGGTCTCTACTAATTTCCAGGTCAGCCAGGGAGTGTGTTGGAGGGAGGAATATTCTGCCTGGGGCTCCATATAACATACTGTGGTCGTGTCATGTAGTGTACATGGAACGGGCCCCCCCCTGGATTCTTTCCAATGTCCTGGCACTAGGCACTCTCAGTTTTTCTCTGATTACATATCTTATGCCACTGTTTCCCAAAGTGTTGGGCACATCCCCCTTGGGGGGAGGGGTGTGTAGAGTTCCCTGGGGGGTACATGCAAATTGTGGCTAACGACACCCCCACTGATTGTAGGCAGCAATTGGCAGCACTGGCCAATTCACTTTGCAGCTGATTCTTCTTACTAGGGGGAATTGGTAGGGGGGGAAGCAGTGGCTGAAGGGGGTAGAGGGGCAAGCGTTTCCAGCCCTGCTACAATGGGGCATAAACCCACACAGCTTGGGGAAAACTATCTTACCTGTATATAAAAAAGTGTCTGACTTGAAGAGCCTTCAGAAGGCATCCTGCAAAGGAAAAGAGTGTGTCAGTAAGCTTCCTTCTTGCAAATACTCTAAGAAAAGAGAACCAGAGGGAGGAAAAATAAACAGGAAAAAGGTGGCGTGTAGGTAGATGATAAAAAAAGATGGCTTTTCCTAGTTAGCACAGTTTTTTAAAACTCCTTTTGGTTTGCATCTGGGGAGCTCAAAGAGAGGGCCAGTTTTTTTAATTAAATACCATTTGCTTTTCTCATGGTGGTTTCATCAGTCTTTTCTTCCAGAAGAAAAGTACACATACCAAGAGATACACTTAAGCTATTGACCTCTTGGACAGAAAGCTATATATGCTCATGGTACTAGAATTTCTATGCAAAATTCGTCACAGCCCTTTTGAACCCTGGAAAATCTCCCCAGGGCTTTATCTACCGTATGATGATCAAGTTGTGTTGTGTTGTTCACATCCATGTTTAATTTGCAAATTTTCTCATGAATCTGGGTTTGACACTGTCAGTGGTATAGCTGCAAACACAGTTGCCTGACATATTACTGTAGCCTAAAGAAAGCATTTGAAATAGTACTGCTATTCCTTGGTTTCAGATCATTGCCATAGAATATGGTTGTATCTTTTAAAATAAGGGCACTGCAGTCAAGGCTCCATTCTAGTGGAGGGGAGGTCAGACAATCTGGATTTTTTTCCCAGCTCTTCCCTGAATCATTGTGTGACCTTAAGCAGGTCATAAAACTTCTCTGCATTAGAGTTACCCGTGTGGATGAGCAATATGAGTAATAACCCATATCAGTGATGGAGATGAAGAAAATCTAGAAGAGAGCACCTTTCTGTTTGTTTGCCAGGGCAGCCTTCAGTCTTTTTTGTCTTTGTCCATCGGAGGAGGCATGTTGCAGCCTTGGGCATGTCCTGGAATGGAATATGGAGGAATGAGGAGGTGTGTGTATTTGCACATTGATGTAGACAGGTAGAAGGAGGCTGTAATCTTTAAAGAGTGAAGAGATGAATGCAGGATGATGATCTCTCTTATCCTGATGTAACAACTTCATGATTTATGCCTCTTTGACATTAGATTGGATCATTTTAGAGTCTTTTTCCATGGTCTTCCAAAAGCAGTGTATGCATCACCTGCAGGTAACTCAGAATGTGGAATGAGAAAAGGAGATGATTCCCACTTGAGCTGTATTTATGTTGCCAGTTGCCCATCTAGTCCCAGATTGAGATAAAAGTTTTTGGTTTCACACTGTAAGCCCACAGTGGGTGTAGCCCGGGTTGCAGAGACTTCTCTGGGTTTGTGCCTCCCTCTGAAACATCCTGCCTTTTAAGACCTGTGAGCCTGATACTCTTGACCTGGGGCTTGAGCAGGAAGATAGTATTGATATCTCTGCCCCCATATTCAAGTGCTATAAAATGTATTCCCTGTTTGGTTTTCAGTCCACCATGCTGGGTCTGGGGCTCAGGTCATGTTCTCTTCAATCCTTCCGGTCAAGGGAAAGGGCCCGGGCAGGAACAGGAGCATCCTGCAGGTCAACACCTGGCAGCTCAGGACGTGTCGCCAGCAGAGAGCTGACTTCTTTGACCATGGGATGCTGTTCCAAGAAGAAGGATTGCTGGGAAGAGATGGG